AAATTGTTTATAAATTAACGGTAAATGCCGATAAACTTTGACCGCTTATATCTCGAGAACCAATAAACGGAATTTAACTTTTTTTTTAAAGAAGCGTCTTTCCGAGTACTTTAAAATTATAATTTTTGAAAAAAACTAAATTGCAAATTGATAAATGTACTCCAATTGTTTAAAAATAAAAAAAAAAGAGTGTTAACTTTAAAAATTTACTGTGGCTGTCTTAATCAACCGATTTCAATTTTTCATTTTCTATGTGAAAAAATTTTCAAGGATCTAGGTCCTTTATTTGAGGCTGAGCAACATTTTAAAAATTTGAAAAAAATTTATCAAAATTTTTTTCAAAAAATTATTTTGCAAAACTGATTTTGGTGTGTTGTTTTATTATACTCTAAAGTTTTTTTTTACCAAAATTTAGAACGCCCTCGGAGCAATTAAAATATTTTTAAAAAATTATCCAAAAAACTTGATTATTTTGCCTTTTTTTCATCAATTATTGCTATTTTGCAACATTGGTAATAAATTTAAACATTTTTAACTGACAGTAAATTGTGCAAAATTCAATTCTAAAACTTTTTTCTTCTTCAATATTCTTCCAAAGTGCATATGTTCCAAGATATAAGTAAAAATACTCGGATAAAATAGGTATTTTTTAAAATTCATTAAACATTTTTGCAATTTTGAAAATGTTCCGGACCTCGGCCAAATCTAGGGATCTACACTTTTATTATGTGAGTTGTACTGAAGGTATTCCAGAAAAAATTAGCTTGCCCCCCTCTTATATCCAAGAAGTGGGATATTTCGACAGATCCGCCCTGGTCTATTCTATGACTTTTCGACGTGCTGTTTTCAGGTCACCACATTTTTTTTGTCAATGCGGGCAAAGTACCGAAGTACTAATCTGATATTTTTGAAACACTTTTTAAATTTCAAGTTTTTGACGGAAAGTATTTGTCACTATTATTTTAAAGCACTGCGTTTAGTCTGTGAAACTCAGGGTCAATGATATTCAACACTGACCTAGTTGACTGAAAATATGACACTATTTTCAGAATTAATTATGTTCAGTCATAAAAAACACTTCCTAAGAAATTGACAACAATGTACAAGGGGTTATGAAATTTGAGTCCCTGAAAATTATAGATATTAAGCGACCTACACAACTGAACAAACAAAACTCATAAACAATAAATACAGAATTATATAAAAATATAATGTACAGCTTTTACTTATATATTATATATAACTACTTAATATAAGCATTATCTCATAATTTGATTATGGTCATATCATATTAGAGCTTGAATCCCAAGCCCGTCTCTATTTTAAAAATTCTCAATAAAGTGCATAAATCAGCGAAACGATGGAAAGAACGCCATCGCCTTAATCCGATTTATATAGAACGCATCCTTAACTTTTCAACAGGTGTATCGCTTAAAACGCTACGACCCAGCAAAAAAAATGTTACTTTTACCAACATTTTTTTGCTTTATAAAAACGTCATTGTAGTTGAATACTATTTCGAAAAACGTTCTTATGCGAATTAAAACATGATTGAAGTCATTACGAATGCCTTCTACATATCGAGACAAATACGGCGGCTCCGCTTGAGCCCCACGGAGGATGGCAAGTGGCAGAAAAGAAGTCGTAAACCCGATAGATGGTTTTCATTCAATGTAGAACGTAATGGCAACGTAACATCAACATACGAGATAGTGCGATTCATTTGAGAAACGTATAATAATTGTAGATTTTTAGAAATATCACAGTACCGAAAAAAACAAATATCTCAAACCAATGTTACGGTTATTGTCGTTAAATGTCAGCTTTCAAAGGATTGACTAGAAACATGATGAAATAGTCGTTTGGTCTTCACTCTAGATTCAGTATTGCCTTCTTTTTAAAAGATTCATTTTACTTCAGTTTCCAAGGTTGTATTACATTTTTCACATGTACAGGGTGTTTAGAAGCGATTGAATCTGAATATAAAGTAGTTTGGTTCATTATTTGAATAACCTGTATCGACTAATTATTCAGAATGTAAATAAACTCTTAACATGAATTATAACTTTTTAAGAACTTATCACTTCGGATATCCATTAATCTCAATGGACGCAAAATTCACCAAAATACGAAAAAATTTCCTATAAACGTTACTTGAGAAATTCTTAGTTTCCAAAATAAAGGCAAACAATTTTTTTGGACATAACATTTTTCAGTTATTTAAGACCAGAATTTAAAAATTTGGATTTTTTTTACTAAAACTTGCACTTTTATTTAAAATTATAATAAAACCTTCATAATTCAGACAAATAGGACGATTTGTACAAGTTATCAAATATTTTGTTTTTGTTTTGCTTTTTACACCCCTCAAGACGAGGAAAATAAAATTGGATCTTATCAAAATGTTGAAAGGCTGTAAATATCTTTAGTATTTAATAAATTGTAAGTTCACGCTTGAAATTTCCAGTTCAATTTAGGAATTTTGATTTAAAGCAAGATATATTGAATTTGAACTCGAAACTACAAGTTTGAACTTGAAAATTTTATTTAAACTTGAACTTCCGAATGTGAACTATATGCATATTTATTTGAACTTGAAATTTCAAGTTTTAATTTAAAATTTCAAATTTGGAAAGCCAAATTTCAAGTTTGAATATTAAATTCGTTTTTCAAACCTCAAAATTTCAAGTACCAACTGGAAATTTGGCTTTTCAAATTTGAAATTTTAAATTCAAACTCGAAATTTAAAATTTATGATGTAAATTAAAAAATTCTCATTTGAATTTCGAATTTCGATGTTTACCTTGAAAAATCCATTTTAAAATACCAAATTTCAAATTTGAACATTAAACTCATGTTTCAAACCTAAAAATTTCAAGTACCAACTGGAAATTTGGCTTTTCAAATTTGAAATTTTATGTTCAAATTAGAAATTTAAAATTTGTATATAAATTATAAAAATTTTATTTGAATTTGAATTTACCTTGTTCATTCAATTTTAAAATACCAAATTTCAAGTTTGAATATTAATTCATATTTAAAGCCTAAAAATTTTATGTACAATCTGGAAATTTGTTATTTTAAAGTGGAATCTTTAAGGTAAAACTTGAAATTCCAAATTCAAATAAGAATTTTTTAATTTACATTACAAATTTAAAATTGCAAGTTTGAACTTAAAATTTCAAATCTAGAAAGTCAAATCTCAAGTATGAACTTTAAATTCGTGTTTCAAGCATCAAAATTTCAAGTACCAACTGGAAATTTAGCATTTCAAATGTGAAATTTTATGTTCAAACTCGAAATTTAAAATTTGTAATGTAAATTAAAAAATTCTTATTTGAATTTGGAATTTTGAAGTTCACCTTGAAGACTCCATTTAGACACAAACTTTCAAATTTGAACATTAAATTAGTGTTTCAAACCTAAAAATTTGAAGTACAAACTGGAAATTTGTTTTTTTTTAACGGAATCTTCAAGGTAAACCTTGAAATTCCAAATTCAGATAAGAATTTTTTAGTTTACATTCCAAATTTTAAATTTCGAGCTTGAACTTAGAATTTCAAATTTAGAAAGCCAAATGTCAAATTTGAACATTAAATTCGTGTTTCTAACCTGAAAATTTCAAGTACCAACTGGAAGTTTGGCTTTTCAAATGTGAAATTTTATGTTCAAAACCCGAAATTTAGAATTTGTAATGGAAATTAAAAAATTCTTATTTAAATTCGGAAATTTGAGGTTCACCTTGAACCCATTTCAACATACCAAATTTCAAATTTGAACATTAAATTATAAGTACAAACAGGAATTTTTTTTTAAATTCAAATAAGAATTTTTTAATTTACATCACAAATTTTAAATTTCCAGTTTGAACTTAAAATTTCAAATTTGGAAAGCCAAATGTCAAGTTTGAACAGTAAATTCAAGTTTCAAACCTCAAAATTTGTACCAGCTGGAAATTTGAAATAAGTACTCGAAATTTAAAATTTGTAACGTAAATTAAAAAATTCTTATTTGAATTTGAAATTTTGACGTTTATCTTGTAGATTCCATTTGAAAATACTAAATTTCAAGTTGGAACATTAAATTCGCGTTTAAAACCTAAAAAATTTATGTACAAACTGGAAATTTGGTTTTTTAAAATGAAATCTTGAAATTCCAAATTCAAATAAGAATTTTTTAATAAACGTTACAAATTTTAAATTTCGAGTTTGAACTTATTATTTCAAATTTGGAAAGCCAAATTTCAAGTTTGAACTTTAAATTTGTGTTTCAAGCCTAAAAATTTTAAGTACTAACTAGAAATTTGATATTTCAAACAAAAATTTGAAACTTGAAATTTAAAATTAATTTTAAAGATTTAGTTTACATTTGAAATTTTGTGTTTAAATAAGAATTTTAAATCACGAAATATTGAATTTGAACTCAGGTTTGAACTTGAAATTCTTATTTAAATTTGAAAATTCCAGTTTGAAACACCAAATTTCAAGTTTGAACATGAAATTGGTGTTTCGAACCCAAAGTTTCAAATTTAGACCTCAAAATTTCAAGTTTAAACTTGAAATTTCACATCCCCAATTTGAAATTAGTTCCAACTCAAAATTTAGAATTTCTAATGTAAATTTCAAAATTGATTGTTTAAATTTGTGATTTAGAGATTCAATTGTAAGATGTCAATTTAAAACACCGAATTTTAAGCTTGAACCTAGAATAACAAGTTGAAACTGGAAATTTTGTGTTTCAAACCCAAAGTTTTAAATTCAAACCTCAAAATTTCAAGTATAAATTTGAAATTTAACTTTTCCAATTTGAAATTTTAAGTTCAAACTCAAAATTTAAAACTTAGAAGGTTCGCAAATTTGATATAAACAAAACATTTTTTCTGTAAAAAATGACAATTTTTTAAGTTTTGATCTTAAATAAACAAAAAAAATCACACAAAGACCAAACATGGGGTAAAATTTTTCTTATTCTTTCCATTTTTTAAATATTGTCATTAGATTTGGAAATCTTTCAATAATGGATAAGACGAAAATGATAAGTTTACTTCTGTGTGTTTCTAAAGACCCCGTACATAAATTTAAACAACTTTAATAAATAAAGAAAAAATCTTTGTATAAACTTTATTAAACATATCTTTACAGTTGCATCATACAAACAGATATATAAAAACATTTTAAAGAGTACGTCGAAATAGAAATAATTGTACTTGACAAAATAAAGCGAGTTGACAAAAAAAAAAGACGAGGATTATAAAAAGTGTTTGAATCCACAGTGAAAGAGACTAAAAAGTTATTTCACAGAAACAAGGTGTCGTCCTACCTTCAGGGAAATTTTATGACCCGCAATATATATATATTTTTTGGATAAAGTCTACATTCTATGTCTCAATTACACAACTAATCAGACAGACATCATTGAAAGCCCAATTTACGTTATGATCTTACTTTTTATACACAAATTGCATACGTGGTAGTATAAACTTCTAAAATTTGGCTTATACTTACGTCGGCCTATCTTACACTAGTTAAAAAAGGCATTTGAAAAATATTCTCATATATATCAAGATGATTATATTACTCTCTAGGAATCATTACCAGTAATAATATCAGCCTACATTATATTTAAACATTAAAGAAGCATTAGTAAAAATTTTTCCTCTACATACATATCTTATTTTCTGCTACGTACATTTATACATTTTTTTCATTCGATGTTGGTCCTTCAATTTATTTTTGATAAGTATGGCTCTCACCGCTGGCTACTGCGCAACCGTCCCGATACCTTTTTGACGCCCGTCGCGACGGGCGGCGCCCTCGGGGTGGGTTTCGGAGTCCTCGAGGGCTCCCTGACTGTCTCCTCGGAATCCTGCCCGGACTCCTTGTCCAGCTCAGCCATGGCTTCTTGTATTGCTTTCTCTAACTGACTATTCAATTTGCGACTTCTGCAAGACAAATTTCAAAATAGTTAGGTTAGATTACAAAAGTCCACGTTTTGTTATTCTGTAAAGTAACTGGCTTAATACACTCAAACTGTCGTCTATGTAGAAGTGTTAATTTTTGTCCAAATTTAAATTCTCTTATTTTGCCCATAAAACATTCGTTTTTTATATACAGGGTGTCTTTACAAATTGCTAATATACAGGCTGATTCAAAATTCAGTACAAAAAATTTAGGAAAGTATTTTTGAAGTCAAAATAAGACTTTTTCTCCTAGCAACGTTGGTCCACAAATGCTTAGTTTTCGACATACAGGGTGTTAAAGCTTTTTATTTTTTCAATTTTATAGGAATAATTTCCAAACAGATTTGAATGTTGGCATAAATCTTGAGGTACTGGTTTTTTTTTAGGATGGACGCTGCTTGTAGAGGGTACGCTCGATTTAAATTGGCCCAAATTTTTTTGCTATCCTGTACAATGACGTTTCCTATTAGTGTGTTTATTTCCCTATCAATTTTAAGCAAAAAAGGTATACTTGGTCAAAATCTCTCAGACCAACAGTTTCCGAGATATTGGCCGATGAAGAATTAAATGCACTCCATATTTTCAAATTTTATTGACTACTTACAGTGAAAAATTTTAAAATTTATTTTTACTATCTAATCAGTAATGCAATAATCTTGAATTAAAACTCTACATTTTTTTCAACACAACTAACCATTTTCGAGAAAATCGCTGCTGACTAAATGGTAGCAAGTACTATTATTATCAAAATCCAAAGAAAAAAAAAACAAGCACCATCAAAAGCAATGACATATTTCAATTTAGCATCCTAAAAAAGCCCCATACCCCAAATTTTAAAACATTCAAATCTGTTTGGAAATTATTCCTAAAATTGAAATTAAAAAAAATAAAAAATCAAAAACTAAGCATTTGTGGACCCACGTTTATAAGAAAAAAGTCTTATTTTGACTTTAAATATACGCCCCTAAATTCTTTGTACTGAATTTTGAATCAGCCTGTAACCAAAAACTGTAATAATTTAAAAAAAATTAAGATCAAATCAACATTTTCATTTGAAAAATGGCAAAAAAATTCTGTCCAGTGGTGTCACAATTTTTGAGAAAATGTAACCAACCCGAAACATATTTTTCAAGTTGAATATCATTAAAATTTTTATATACAGGGTGTTTGATAAGTCAATGCATTCCTTGCAGAAGGTTATAGTACAAGTGATTTGTGATATATTCCGAAAACGCTTAGTTTCTGATCTACAGGGTGATAGTTTTAATAAAAAAATACAAATTTATAAATATTGCGGAAAGCACGCAGAATATTTTAATGAAATTTTACAAGCTTTCATAATTAACAACAATACATGTTTTACGATAAAAATATTGTTTTTCTTTCACCAGTGGCGTACGCACAAGCATGTCTGGATATTTTTAAAGAAAAAAATTATACGCCATTGATTTTTCTTAAAATAAAAAAATATTTTCCAATTCCTTATACAATTTGGATGAGAAAAGGTATCTTGACTGTTTTTCATACGACGTACCGTTTTCGAATAAAAAAAATAAAATCGATTATTGCATTGCGTAATCTGGTTTCAATAATTTGAAAAATAGCAGAAATTATGCACTCAACATTTTTTTGTAGCAATTTTATTACAAAAAAAATTATTATTCCTCGCAGTTAATATCAGTCTAACAAAATTTTTTATCAGTTTTTAGATTCACTATTCACTATCTAAATAGAAATTAGCAAGTTGGCTGTGCACCCGTTTTGTTATTGTTTGACAAAATTAATAATAGCTGTCACTTTGAGTGTTTGAGTGTGAAGCAGTTAAGTGCATAATTTCTGCTATTTTTCAAATTATTGAAACCGAATTACGTCATGTAATAAATCAATTTTATTTTTTTTTACTCGAAAATTATGCATCATAAGAAAAACAGTCGAGATACCTTTTCTTTTCCATATTGAACAAGGAATTCAAATATAATTTTTATTTTAAGAAGAATCAGTGGTGTTATCATATCTTTCTTTAACAATATCTAGAGACATGCCTGAGCGCACGCCACTGGTGAAGCTGAAAACAATATTTTTATCGTAAAACATGTATTGTTGTTAACTGTCAAAGCCTGCAAAATTTCACTAAAATAAATTTGCATCTTTTTATTAAAACTTTATCACCCTATAGATCAGCAACTAAGCGTTTTCGAAATATGAAATTAAGGAAATATATCACAAATCACTTCTACTATAACCTAATGCAAGAAATGCATTGACTTAATAAACACCCTGTATATTGTGTACAAAAAATTAGACTTTAATGTATCCATTTTTCCAGAATATAGTCTTTGATACAACAATTTAACACCCTGTATCTATAAAACAAAACTTTCGAAGGCAAATATGGACTTAAAACACAACCCATAATTTGTTGTTCGTCGATAAATGATTATGTATGATTAGAATTCAATACATTATACAGGGTGTTTTGTAAAAAGGTGAAATTAATTTAATAGCAAATTCAATGAGAACAACAATAGAGGTCACCAACGAAGATTTAAAAAAAAATATTGATAATATATTTTATAAAATACAACTGCGTTATAATTTGCTACAAGTTTTTGAGAGTTTGCTAGTAGCGATTATTCTTAGAAATATTTTGAAATAATTTTTTTGACATTAAGTTTTTTGCTTTATTAAAAAAAATACGCGCTGTTACAAATTCGTTTCTCACAATAAGGATTTCGAAAATGGTAAGAGATACGAACTAGCTTAAAAGCAGGGGTTATAGTTGCGTAATCAAGTGACCAACATGATGCCTCTAAAAAATCAAGGCTAACATGATTAGTTTGAAAAAAAACCGAAATTTTGGAAATCCGTTTTTGTTTCATTTCAGCCTTGTTTGAGGTGATACTGAAAAAAGAAGACGTTTCTTCTCTCTAGGACCATCATCAACTTAATTTTTTTAAATTTAAATGTCGTCTAATTTTTTTCTTGGTCAACAATTAAAAGATGACCAAAATTAATAATTTATAGCACCCTTTTCAAAACACCTTGTATTGATCATGTAAGTACTATATTAAAGTTTTATAACACTATGAAATTATGGCTACCAAATTCAATTATTATTGTAAATCGACGGTTCTGGACCGTATAATAAATGGAATGTGAGAACATTATAGATGTGGCTAATATAGTCAGACCAACTCACGTTCTGCTCTTTTTTCGAGCTCGATGGTGTGCATCTAGGCCTTCGGTCAACGTTTGCAACGAGCTGCACTCGATTTTACTGACAAATTTTTCCGATCCAAACCACTGGACGGACACACTGCCGTCATGCACCTCTACGATCTTGCCGGGCCACGCCGGGCAGCCTTTGGCCGGACCCCAGACTAGGTCGCCGACAACGAATGCGTGTCGGCCTTTAACGTCGCCTTTCTCGTTTTCTACATGTAAATAGAGCCGGATTTAGATGAGCGACTTTAGTTTCGTAAGAAGCAAAGCGGTTCAGCACCCACCCGTGAAAATGGCATTTGTACAGAATGAGTCCGTGATGGGAATTATTTACAGACACCAAATGTTAATTTCGTCCTGGGGTTTCCGAGTGAATGTTAGCCACACCATGTAATATTCACACTGTTTCACCTTGAGAAGTCGTCTGGTTCTGTCCACCGAAGCAGACCTGAACTAACCTGTATTGAAGCGACCTAGGTCAGTTTTGGCCCATTTATCAGGTTAACTTTGAGTAGGATTTAAATAAGTGTTCAGTTAAATCCAGTTTAAATTATCTTTGACATACAGGATCACTCATAATTGATAAAAAAAAAATTAGGGCAATATTCCTTAGGCTAAAGTAAGAAAAAAATACACTCAATTCCCTGGGTGCTAAATTTTTTGAAAAATGTCACATACGTTAATGCAAATTTTTTAGTTGTCTTATGATTGCGTATGTGTTTGTGTTTGTAAAGGAATGTTTTGTAAAATTACTCAATATTTATTTTCCATGCAATTTTTACATAACGTCTCAATCGACGCTCCAGTTTAGTTGTGTTCAGTCTCGCGGACCACCTGGAAGATGGCCATGGACCACAGGTTGGGAACCACTGGCCTACGGCAAACATGTTTCAAAATTTTTGCACATATGTGGCATTTTTCAAAATCTTGTTGATACCCCAAGATCAAAACGCTTAGACATACACGAGAACTCTCTTTNTAGGTTGCTAGACACCTCTAGAAAATTCTCTCCAAATATGAGCTCTTAATCTTAATAGGAAGGTCCTCCGCTTTACAGTTTTCCATTTTTTCCTCAGTATTAGAAAAAAAAAAAAGAATAATATCTCTCTATCAACTGTTAGTTAAAAATATCTCTCCACATATACTTGTAGGAAATTGAACGCTCTACAAAAAAGGTCTTACAATTTTTTCGTAAACCTCACCGTTTAAAAGATATTAAAGGTTGAAGTTTGATTATTTTAAGACAAATTTCTGTTTCGCTTATGAATTTTATAACTCGTTAACAAAAAATCATTATGAAATGCGCAATCCACAGTGTCGTAGGAAATTAACTGCTCTACAAAAATGGTCTCTTATGATTAGTCGATTAAATAAAGCGTTTAGAAGATATTCATCGTCAAACTTCAATGCACGCCAATTTTAACAGTTTTTGATTAATAATTCGCAAAATTTCAATTTAGTTTAAGTTTCAGGGAAATTTATATAAATTTGAGTTTCTAGTGAAGCTCCTAATGCAGTCAAAAAAATTCTTTGCTATCATACTCAACGGTTAAAATTACAAAAAAGTTAAAAAAAAAATCAGCACAAAACCAAAATGTTTTAAATTTTATAACTCGCTTGATAATTAAATAAAAAAACTTTTTAATAACAAATTCAAAATTTTTTTTTCTTTAAGATTAATACTTTTCATAATAAATTTCTAACAAAAACATTATTTTTTCAAGATTTAATGAATCATTGACTCTCAAGTCAGAAATAATGCACTAATTTTTTTTCGATGTAACCAAACATGCTTACGACTAAAAAAAAACTAGAAAAATACTTTAAACATTTCTCTGTTCATAGAAACTCAAATTTGTATAAACTTCCCTAAAACTAATAAACTAAATTGAAATTTTACGAATTATTATTAATCAAAAACTGTTAAAATTGGCGTGCATTGAAGTTTGACGATGAATATCTTTTAAACGCTTTATTTAATCGACTAATTATAAGAGACCATTTTTGTAGAGCAGTTAATTTCCTACAAAACTATGAATTGCGCATTTCATAATGATTTTTTGTTAACGAGTTACAAAATTTAAAAGCAAAACAGAAATTTGTCTTAAAATAATCAAACTTCAATCTTTAATATCTTTTAAACGGTGAGATTTACGAAAACATTGTTAGGGACCTTTATTGTAGGGCGTTCAATTTCCTACAACTATATGAGGAGAGATATTTTTAACGAACAGTTGATAGAGAGATATGAATTTTTTTTCTAATACTGAAGAAAAAATGGAAAACTGTAAAGTGGAGGACCTTCCTATTAAGATTAAGAGCTCATATTTGGAGAGAATTTTCTAGAGGTGTCTAGCAACCTATTTTTCAGAGTATAAAGTAAAAATAAATAGTCAATTTTTTTTGACCCACCCTAGTGCATGTGTTTGTAAAGGTATGTTCCGTAAAACTACTCGTTATTTATTTTCCATGCAATTTTTACATAACGTCTCAATCGACGCTCCAATTTATATAATTGGCTGTGCTCAGTTTCGCGGACCACCTAGAAGATGGCCACGGACCACCGGTTGGGAACCACTGACCTTCGGCAAACATGTTTCAAAATTTTTGCACATATGTGGCATTCTTCAAAACCTTTTGACACCCCAAGAACAAAACGCTTAGACACACCCGGGAACTCTCTTTCTTATTTTGGGCTAAAGAATAACCTCCCAAAATTTTTTGGTCTATGTACGACTCACCCTACGTTTATCGATTGCAATCGCATTAGGGTTAGTTCAGAGCTGCGGGTAAGATACACTAACGAATAATTCATATTTTGTGGTTGAAATTAATAATTGTGCATAGAATATACAGCATGCAAGTGAAGCGCTGGTTTATTATTATTAATTAGTTGCTGTACGAGTATCGCATGCATTTTTAAAACTAAAACAACGGTTAAGGATTAAAAAATTACATACAAAATTTAAACAGTTGTTATTTCAACTGACGAAACTGTACAGATTCTTTGACCAAAAATAAAAAAAAGTTCGTATGAACACAATACCGCAAAGGCTTCATTCTTTAAATACAGAATGATAAAATTTTATTACTTTTTCAGTCATTTTCATTTGTTTTACACGTTTTCTGTTAAATTCTGGTTGGTCAATTATACTAATGCAGTTTTATTAAAAGTTGGGCAACAGACTATGCTTTAAGCCGCATTTTGACTAAAACGCAGAGTTATGTCAAAGAAAAAGTCGATGTCATGTAAACTGGCTGTTTTTTTTCGAATTCATTGACATTGCCCTTAAAAAAATTGTTAAATGTATCAAATTTAAATGGATTATATAAAAAAATATGCCAAAAAAAAAGGGATAACTCTGTATCTCAAGAACGAAGCACTCACGACGCTATTTTAAATTTTTTATTAAAAAATAATCTGTAGAATTTTTTCTGTGGAACATCGCAACACCTTGTATACTACATACTATTCAGTATTAATCAAAGAAACTGTTTAATGGTGTACGACTAACAATTCATGAGTATACTACACAGATTTCTACCGTGGACCTTAGCGAAGATATTTAATTACAAATACAAATATTTAACTAATTACAAACATAATGAAAATTTAGAAAATGGATTAAAAAAATTTTATTCAAGCAATTTTAAAATTATACAAATATAGTTTTATATTTTAAAGTGTGCATGAATAAAAACTGTTTCCAGATATACAGGATATCCCGATATGCTAGTAACATAATAAGTAAAAAACAAATGAAATTCAAATATTTCCCTCAAAATTCCTAATCCTAAGCTTGGTATGATTTTTTAGGTGTCAATTTTTGAAAAATTGTATTAGTAATTTTGTTATTAAAAATCTAATAAAACAACATTATTGAACATAACTGCGTGCATAGAATACCATAAAATACAATTTTTATCACTCTTTTGAACTTCTTTATGCTTAATTCCAAAAAATAATTAGCGTTGTAATAAAGAGTGACCGCAAAAATTGTCCGTTTTTTCACAATTCGCAGAGAACTAAATAAAATGGATAAAAATATGTTTTTGGTCTTAAATTACTCGTCGTAAAAAATTAAGATTTAGCTTTTTGAAAATTTTTAAAAACCACCTCTATTTAGAGGTTGAAAGGACGCCCAAAATGAAGAATTGAATGTTACCAATAAATATAAAAACTATTAGCATGTGAATTTTTCTATCGAATGATTCTTGATACAAAGAAAGATTTATTCTCATGACTGAAATAAGCATGTTGAATTAGAAAATCCACCCTTAAGCGCGCCAAGGGGGTGGAATCATCCCCAAAAATAGAGTATATCAGAAATAATTGTAAAAATTTCAAAAAAAAAAACATGCTAATAGTTTTTATATCAATTGGTAATATTCAAATTCTGCATTTTTGGTATTTTTTTCAAACCCAAAGCAGGGGTGATTTTTAAAATTTTCAAAATACTAAAAGCTATGCTCTTTCTAGTTTTTTACGACAAGTAATTTGCGACCAAAAACATATGTTTATGAATTTTTTTTAATTCTCTGCGAATTGTGAAAAAACGGGCAAAAATTACAGGTTTTTTGCGGTCACTTTTTAAAATTCAATAAAATTCATATTGAGCAATGCGACGACGGCGCGGCGGATAACACGAGGTACTAAGCTGTCCAGCAATACGCAATTCAGTTGGTATCTGGAACTGGATCGTGTATGAGTGTTTTTTGCGTACCACTATTTTCTTCTCTTGAGGTGTTTTCCAACGAGTGCGCGCTAATTGGATTCGAAGGTGTTGTGCGTGCATCGAAAATGGTGGTGGACATCATGAGCATATATCGTAGTTTGTTTTGTACTTGTGCGTTTAAAAATTACTGAATTTTGCTTTTTGGTAAGTACCCAAATTATTTTTAATGCGTATGATTGTTTGGACGACGGGAATCTTTGGGTACTTTAATTACATATTTTCAAAATCATAATTTGATTAAAAGTGAAGTTCCTATTTTTAGATATTCATAATTACTAAAATTCGAACTAAAATTTAATCACAACACTATCTTCATACTACAAAATCGATACATTTTATTTTATTTATTTAAAAACTTGTTTACATTTTTTCCATAGAACAAGTTTGCCGCGTGCACACGTGGTATGCTTCAGCAGTGTAGCGCTGTTTTTCTGAATTAAAATTAAAAAAAGGACGATTTAAATTTTTCTCAGCATTAACACTTTTTCTTGCACAATTTTTACCAAGAAAATTTATGAATTACTGTCAATTTTTTATGAAAGCTTTACATAGTAAAATATATTTTATACCGAACTAATGTGCTGAATTTCCAGAATGAATAAGAATTTAAAATTTTTTTTTTACTGTTTTACATATATTATATTTACTGATTTTGCAGAGCTGCCAAATATTTATACAGGGCGTAACTTTAAATGGGGGGTCAACATTTTAGGGGTAATAGTACGTGTTCCCCTGAATATGAATCTGAAATTCTTCTTTGTTTTTTTAATCAAATAAATAGTCGGGTTATAATTAGTTTTTTTAACTGCACTTTAAAACTTGTGTACACCGCCACTGTAATATTCACGTATTACAAATACACGAATTGTAGGCAACCTACAGTGCATGTGAGGGGAGATAGTGTGGGTCAACAGTGACAAAGCGAAGGACATCAGTTGTTGTTACACCCTGCATATTTAATGATCTACAGAGATATTTTTGAAATTATTTCATGTAGGGGTTCTAGAGAATAAAGTGATTTGTCCATACACCAGTTAAACGCGTTTTGATAAAAAATTGACACGAGGTTTTTGCAAAGAATATGAAGGATGTAAAATAAACGCAATGTCATAAAAATTACTAATACAATTTCTGCAAAATTGTCATCTAAAAAAAAGCATAGCAGGCCTAAACTTTTCAATTTCAAGGAAGTTATAGTCAAACATCGAAACACCCTGTACGTAATGATAGAAATGGAATACAATTATACTCATTTTAATCATGCACTGTTCTGCATTCACAAAAAAAAAATTAGAAATATTAAATTTGGTTTCTCTTCAACAAACAAACATGCATAAAATTTTACAAACCCAACAGAAGCAGAAAGCATCAAGCCCAAAACTACCCGTTAAAAATAAACTTTAACACATACCCTCATCATCATCGAACAAGGAAGAGTGCATGTGGTGCGTCTCCATGACGACGAGAGTATCGCTGCTCTTCCTCTTGTGCTGCATCAGCTTCTCGTAGTTCCTTGAGCTCACGACGGCCTCCTGCGACTTCATCTGTTCCGTAATGTACTGCAGTCCCGACACCAAAGTGGACGATTCGGCAAAAGCGACGTGAGTAGGTGTGGATTTCTTCCCGTAATGCGCCTGGCCGCTGGTTATGTCCGAGAAGTCAGCCTTGGGGGTGGTGCTGACCGGCTGGTTCCTTCTCCAGTCCTGGTCGGAACTCTGGCTGTTCAGGTCGGCCGAGTCCGGCTCGCTGCTGGATATGCAGTGTACCATGGCCTGATAGTAACATACATAGGAGTATTATAAAACATTTATTAAATGTTTATTATCGATTTTTTTAATAATACTGTTATTGACAAATAAAACTTACAGAATAATAATACGGCTCGCCTTTCTCTGCGTGAAGTATTACTTCAGGCATTTATACATTTATATAAGGTCTGTTCATTAGCGTTGCTAGAAGCTAATCTGAGCAGAAAAAGCAGAAAAAATTTTCTACTCATATCATAAAAATAAGCAACTTTTTGATAGAATAATAATAAAAATAAGTAATAACTTGGTAGCTGCTCATTTGTATTTTAGTGTCGTTCTTATTTTGTTTCAAAAAACTCTGTCAACTGTCAAAACATTTATGATATCAGTGCTCTTTGCTCTGAATTGAGCATCACTAAATGAGTTTATAGTTGGACAGCTGGTTTCAGAGATCAGAATATAGATGGCGACACATCTTTCATTCTTGTTTAAATGTTTATAGCACAAGTTGCAATGGCTATATACAGACGATGGGGATAATAGAAATTAAATGGCAATTTGACAATCAAGGACATTGGTGATTTAATACATAAGATCAGTTATGAAATTTGACTGGATTGAAATAAAGCTTTAGGTTAACTAGATCCTAGTTAGAATAATTTTGTTATGGAAAATGGGCATAGAAACTGAACCATCTTCATACATCTACCACTCTTGTTGAACTGGAATAGTGAAGAGTAACTGTTTAAATATACAGCGTAGCCCATTAAGAATTAGGATACCCGTCAGAAAAAATTGAATTTTTCCGAAAATTTACAAACGGGAAATATTTTTACGAAATTTGGTATTCCGGGGTTTTTAATGATGCCAAATAAGCTGGTCTAATTATTTTTTGGATATTTCATAGAGTGCGCTAGTTATGCTACATTCCTATTACATTTTAAGTTCTAATCTTTTTAAGGTTAGGTTTTTTACCATTCGAGCTCCAATTTATAATGTACAATTTTATTTTCTAAAAATAATGTACTCTTATTAAGACTTCCTAATGTGTGAGAAAAAAGGCTTTTAATTGAACTCTTACAATATTACGGTGTTTAAAATAAGTGACTTTTCTCAAAGTAGGCTTATCTCAAAGCTTATTGATGGATGATGTCTCATAAACAACGCATACATTCTTAGTAATGTTTTAAACACTAATTAACTTTACATCAAAATTTTAGTGACTGTAATTAGTCATTACTAACTAGTCACTAAAATCACTAAAATTTTGATATAAAGTTAGAGTTTAAAATATTACTAAGAATGTATGCGTTGTTTATGAGACGTACGTCAATAAGTTTTGACATAAGCCTACTTTGAGAAAAGTCACTTATTTTATACACCGTAATATTGTAAGAGTTCAACTAAAAGCCTTTTTTCTCGAAAACCGTCCACATTAGGAAGTTCTAACTAGAGTACATTATTTTTAGAAATGGTAAAAAACCTAACCTTGAAAAAATTAGAATTTAAAATGTAATAGGAATGTCGCATAACTAGCGAAAAATAATTAATTTATTTTAGGCTGAAAAAATCTGAAAATTTTTTTTTTAGAACCTACTAACAATACTGAATCGTTTGACCAAGCCCCTCACCCTTCTTTCCCCCTCCACCCCCTTAAATGCCGGGGAAAACATCGCTTATTAGAGGAATGTTTAAAGAGCTTAGAGATGCGAATGACATTCAATTCCTATGAATCTTACATATGAAATGTTTTTTGAGTCGCTGATCACGAATCTGGTCTCAGAATCACGAACTTCAAAATGGCGGATCCAATATGGCAGATAAGAAATTTGAAATGTCTTCAAAATGCATGAATTTGTTTGTATAATGGGTTTTTTTGGGTCTATGAATACAAATCTGGACTTTAAATCACGAAATTCAAAATGGCGGATCCAATATGGCGGACAAGAAAATTGAAATGTCTTCAAAATTCATGAATTTTTTTGTAATGGGTTTTTTTGGGTCTATGAATACGAATCTGGACTCTAAATCACGAAATTCAAAATGGCAGATTCAATATGGCGGACAAAAAAATTAAATGTCTTTAAAATGCACGAATTTTTGTGAATTATGAATTCAGAATCACGAAATTCAAAGTGGCTAATCAAATACGACAAACATGTATATATAATTACTGATATTTTCTTTTTCGTTTTATTCAATGTAAATGTGTTATCTCATTTAAGGGGGGCGTTTCGGAAGGAAACGATTTAGTATTGCTAGTAAGTACTAAAAAAATTTTTTTCAGATTTTTTCAGCCAAAAATAAATTAGGCCAAAAACCGGCCTTAGGGGCCCTCCTCCTTTCATAAAAATATTTCACACCGTTTGGAAATTTTTGTAAAAATTCTATTTTAAAAATTTTATTTTGTTGCTCTGTATCTCGAAAACAAGACGAGATAGACATATAGTTCATAAGGCAAAAAATTCTTATTTTTTGTCGTACTATCACCCCCTGTATTTACGGGAGGTGTTTCTGAAACAGTTTGTATATTGGTTTTCTAGATGTACTTGTTGAACCAATTACGATGATCCGGCCGCTAATCCACAGACTACTATGATTTTTGTTTTAGCAACAAATTTTTTCAAAAATTACTTTCGGCATTTTTTTCATGAAAATTGTAGCAACATGGAATTGCTCAGCATGATTTAAAACCCATCTAGTCAAAATTTCATAAATTTTTATCGAAGAATAATATTTTTATAGTACCTAAAGTTTTATTTATCAGAGTGACCGCAAAATCCGCCTGTTTTTAAGACATTGACAGAGGCGACAGGAAAAATCCTAAAAATATTCTAAAAATATCCAAAAACTCGTCTTGAAAAATGAAAATGAGCATCACTTTCAGTTTATAGAAAATTTTCGAAAATCACCCTTATTTAGGGATTGAAAAGACAAAAAAGTGAACAAATTAAGAATCATCAGCAGTTGTAAAACCCCACATACTTCTATCCTATACTGATCATTTTGCAATTGACTTGAAGCCGAAAAGTGGGGCGACGTACCATCGTATTCATACGCATGCGTTTACTTTACGGGTTTTGATTGGTTGAAAAGAACCAAGAACGGTGAGCGCCGAGCGGTAAAAAGCCAAACCGAGCTAACCTAAAAAATATTCTCATTTTGTTTTGTGTTGTGCTAGTGCTTTGGTGAAACTGTTATGGTATAGTGTATATTTTAATAAATAAATAAATAAATGTATCTTTTGAGTTTTATTTCATAATNTTTGGGTCTATGAATACAAATCTGGACTTTAAATCACGAAATTCAAAATGGCGGATCCAATATGGCGGACAAGAAAATTGAAATGTCTTCAAAATTCATGAATTTTTTTGTAATGGGTTTTTTTGGGTCTATGAATACGAATCTGGACTCTAAATCACGAAATTCAAAATGGCAGATTCAATATGGCGGACAAAAAAATTAAATGTCTTTAAAATGCACGAATTTTTGTGAATTATGAATTCAGAATCACGAAATTCAAAGTGGCTAATCAAATACGACAAACATGTATATATAATTACTGATATTTTCTTTTTCGTTTTATTCAATGTAAATGTGTTATCTCATTTAAGGGGGGCGTTTCGGAAGGAAACGATTTAGTATTGCTAGTAAGTACTAAAAAAATTTTTTTCAGATTTTTTCAGCCAAAAATAAATTAGGCCAAAAACCGGCCTTAGGGGCCCTCCTCCTTTCATAAAAATATTTCACACCGTTTGGAAATTTTTGTAAAAATTCTATTTTAAAAATTTTATTTTGTTGCTCTGTATCTCGAAAACAAGACGAGATAGACATATAGTTCATAAGGCAAAAAATTCTTATTTTTTGTCGTACTATCACCCCCTGTATTTACGGGAGGTGTTTCTGAAACAGTTTGTATATTGGTTTTCTAGATGTACTTGTTGAACCAATTACGATGATCCGGCCGCTAATCCACAGACTACTATGATTTTTGTTTTAGCAACAAATTTTTTCGAAAATTACTTTCGGCATTTTTTTCATGAAAATTGTAGCAACATGGCATTGCTCAGCATTATTTAAAACCCATATAGTCAAAATTTCATAAATTTTTATCGAAGAATAATATTTTTATAGTACCTAAAGTTTTATTTATCAAAGAGTGACCGCAAAATCCGCCTGTTTTTGAGACTTTGACAGAGGCGACAGGAAAAATCCTAAAAATATTCTAAAAATATCCAAAACCTCGTCATGAAAAATGAAAATGAGCGTCACTTTCAGTTTATAGAAAATTTTCGAAAATCACCCTTATTTAGGGGTTGAAAAGGAAAAAAAGTTAACAAATTAAGAATCATCAGCAGTTGTAAAACCCCAATTATTTCTATGTTGTTATCAAAAAAATATTATGAACGTGAAAATATCTAATTTCGTATTTGATACGGTCTTGTCCGGATTGAAAATCAACCCTTAATATTCCCAAAGGGGTGAAATCATCCCCTAATCGCCTAAAAATGCAAAAATATATTAAAAGTTTCAATTTTTTTTCTTTTTCATTTTTGCGTGATAATTTAACCGTTAATAACTCACAATCAAAGGAAAATACCCTAAATGAGGGTAAAACCACCCCTAAGTTCAACTACATACGTATAAAAAAGAAAAAAATTGTAACTTTTAATATATTTTTTGCATTTTTAGGCGTTTAGAGGATGATTTCACCCCTTTAGGGATATTATGGGTTGATTTTCAATCCGGACAAGACCGTATCAAATACGAAATTAGATATTTTCACGTTCGTATTATTTTGATAACAACATAGAAATAATTGGGGTTTTACAACTGTTAATGCTTCTTAATTTGTTCACTTTTTTTGTCTTTTCAACCCCTAAATAATAAGGGTGATTTTTGAAAATTTTCGAAAAACTGAAAGTGATGCTCATTTTCATTTTTCATGATGAGTTTTTGGATATTTTTAGAATATTTTTAGGATTTTCCCCGTCGCCTCTGTCAAAGTGTCAGAAACAGGCGGGAAAATGGCTTTTTTTGTGGTCACTCATTGTGGTTCTGTTAAAAAATGTAGAATTAAAGTATTAACGTAAAATCAACAGCTAATATTTATTTCAACAGACAATTATTTATTAAAATTGACTATGAAGCAAGAAAAAAATTTTTAATTAGGCTAGCCCAGAACGTTCCGTTATTTAGGACCTAATAAAAAAAAAAGACTCACCATGGTACAAGACTGTGGTCTGGTCTGCATGTTAATGTCGCTGCAACCCGCCGAGCAATTCGAGGGAGCGGGAGACAAACCATCGTCCGTACTGCCCGNCCAAATATTTCTATGTTGTTATCAAAATAATATTATGAACGTGAAAATATCTAATTTTGTATCTGATACGGTCTTGTCCGGATTGAAAATCAACCTATAATATCCCTAAAGGGGTGAAATCATCTCCTAAACGCCTAAAAATGTAAAAAATATATTAAAAGTTACAATTTTTTTTCTTTTTCTTTTTTACGTGATAATTTAACCGCTAATAACTCACAATCAAAGGAAAATACCCCTAAGTGAAGGTAAAACCACCCCTAAGTTCAATCATATACGTATAAAGGAAAAAGAAAAAAAATTGTAACATTTAATATATTTTTTGCATTTTTAGGCGTTTAGGGGATGATTTCACCCCTTTAGGGATATTATGGGTTGATTTTCAATCTGGACAAGACCGTATCAAATTCGAAATTAGATATTTTCACGTTCATAATGTTATTTTGATGACAACAAAGAGATATTTGGAGTTAATGATTCTTAATTTGTTCACTTTTTTTGTCTTTTCAACCCCTAAATAAGGGTAATTTTCGAAAATCTTCGAAAAATTGAAAGTGATGCTCATTTTCATTTTTCATGACGAGTATTTGGATTTTTTTAGGATTTTTCCCTGTCGCCTCCGTCAAAAAAAAAAAAACTAAGTATTAACGTAAAATCAACAGCTAACATTTATTTCAACAGACAATTATTTTTTAAAATTGACTACGAGGCAAGAAAAAATTTTTTTAATTAGGCTAGCCCAAAACGTTCCGTTATTTAGGAGCTAATAAAAAAAAAAGACTCACCATGGTACAAGACTGTGGTCTGGTCTGCATGTTCATGTCGCTGCAACCCGCCGAGCAATTCGACGGAGCGGGAGACAAAGCATCGTCCGTACTGCCCGTATGCGTGGTGGTATCCGCGGTCGGCGGACTCTGCCCTCCCGAAGCCAACGGGCTTAGGGTAGTGGTATCAGGCGGACTTCCAGCTGAGATAGTCGAAGTCTGACAGAACGTATTCGTCGTGACCGACTGAGCGTTCTGGTTCACCGCCGTCTGCGTGGACACCGAGTGCCTGTAATTCAGGGAATTCTGAGGGCTCTCCCTCTGCTGCACCACAACGGCCTGCATCTGTTTGTTGTCGTTGGAACTGATGATGTAGTTCTGTTGGTCCAGGTTGAGGGTGGCCGTTCTAGCGACGTTCTGCTGGTTCTGTTGGTTATTCTGCTGCTGGAAGTTCTGAAGTTGCTGGTTGTTGGCCACCATGGTCGTCTGTTGCTGTACGATGGTGGTGTTCTGCTGCACGAACGTCGTGTTCTGCTGATTCGACGAGGAAACCGCGATGTTAGCCGCGGGGCTACACGGAACCATAAGCGTCTGCCCCATCTGCCCGTTCATCTGTATGTATTCCTGCTGGGCCGGTTGCATCGAGTTGTTAGGCCTTATCTGTTGGGGCGACGTGCTGAACGTCACCTGTTGGGATGGGCTCACGCTCGCAACTAGAGGGCTCAGCTGCCCGCTGAATTGAGTTCCGTTCACCACGAACTGCCCTCCGTTAGGCGATAGAAATTGCGCCCCGGGACTGTGCTGCTGTTGTTGGATAATTTTTCCTTGCGAATTGGGCGCCCGTATGACCATCCCGGCGGGACCAGCGGCAAGAATGCTCTGCCCGCCGTTAAACATACTGCTGTTCTGTACCGGAGTCAACACGTTCTGACCGTTGACGTTTTGGATCTGCAGCTGCATTCCTAGATTCGAGGTGTCTTGGAGAATGGTCGCGGTGCCGTCGGGATTCATGACCATCCCACCCAGGTTTGGTACGATGAACTGTTGGATTGCCGGGAAGTTTTGTACCACTCCGGTGGTGCCGTTAATTAAATTGACGGGTTGCAGCAGGTTTATCTGTTGAGCTGGCTGGGAATTGGTGATTAATTGTTGCGTTCCTAAGTTGGCGTTGGCCATCGCCTGGCTGTTCATGACGATCTGCGGGGGCCCCCCAGTCTTACTGGGTACGATGGTAAGGGCCTGCATAACGGGTCCTGTCGTTATGCCCTGAGGGCTATGGGCCATCTGTATCTGTTGCGGGAATCCCTGTTGGGACATGACGACTCCGGAGTTTTGTTGCGCGGCAATGTGCAGCATACTGGCAACGGTCTGCGAGGACATCTTCCTCTTCTTCCCCTTCTTCTTCGTCTCGGGGGAAAGCAGGGGCGCCCGTCGCGGGTCGCCGTTGTCTATCTGTATCTGTTGTTGTATCACGTTGCCCGCAACCAAATGCGGCAGCTGCATGTTCTGTCCAACCGTCATTCCGTCCATCGTCATTGTAACGCCTGGTTGTAAGACAAACGGAGCCGGAAGAGCGTTTACTAGCACCGTCTGTTGCCCGAGTACCTGCTGAGCGACGGCTGGGATAACCTGGGCCACCGACGCGGTGACGTTGGTCACCATGGGGGAAACGGAGATGGGGGGCATGCCGCTTTGGCTGCCCATTATCTTGGGAGGTGGCGGCGCCATAACGCCTCCTTGTCCGTTGCCGGTACTGGCCATGATCAGCTGACCGCCGGACGAAACCAAGATATGTCCCGGCGGTAAACCCGTAGGAGAATGTTTGATGATTTGCGGGGACATCTGAGGACTCGACTGGGCAGACGAGCTCAGTACGTGGTGCTGCGACTGCGGGACTTGGATACTGCTCACAACGCTCTGAACCATTTCCAGCGGCGATTTCGATACATTCACGGTTATCGCTTGAGTCTGAAGCGCCGGCATGTTTTGCCCAGGTGTTGAGGTAGGTGTAGATGATCCGGTCACCGACGATGGGCTGTTTATGGAAACGGTCGCGGTGTTCGCTCGGCCCGCAAGCACAGACGTGATAGTGTTGCTGCCGACGGTTCGACCGCTAGCCATGGTCGTTACGATTCCCGACGGGTACACAGTTGACATGCGCGAGGCGTGAATTCCACTCGACGGGTGAGAATGCGAACAACACATTCCGTCCTGCTTGGGTACGGCTTGATTCTGATTTTGGTAATTATTCATTCCCATTTCCTTGTGCTGGTTTATTTGTAAGTGCTGCATCTGATTGGGCTGGGAGTAGACGACAAAAGGCATGCTAGTGTTGATAATTTGAGAAGTGTCCGGTATTCTCGGCGGGGTTGGAGGGTGCGGATTGGGAGTCGGAGGATCCGACTGCATTCCGTCAACCGGCGAAACGTTGCTGGTGCTAACGGTACCACCCTGGATAGGTCTAGAATCCGGAGAGGTTTGATTACTAGGTTTTTCGGAATAAGTGGAAGAAGTAACGGGATCGTCGGAAGCGCCCGAGGAACTTGGAGTGCCCGGAGTACTACTTGGTCTCGAATGGCCTTGAATTTTCATTTGATTAGGATCTTTCATCACAAACTGGTTCTGTTGCTGCATGCTATCCGCTACACATCCCTGACAATGAGCGTATTGCTGATGTTGTTCGGGCAAGGCACTGCTGTCCGCCATGCTTGGTTGCATTTGTATCTGGCCGAACTGCGGAGACATCACGATATTGTGAGACATCTGAGGACTCTTCACGACATTTTGGTTGGTTCTGTTCGTAACACTGTGGACATGAGGTTTCATTTGCGACAGCACCATATTGCTAGGTAAAGGCACCTCATTGGTTTGGGAATTAGTGATTGGGACCATGTTTTGCTGAGGACTTTGCAGTGATGTGACGGGGCTGTTACAAACATATCCTGAACATCCGTTGGCCCCTGAAAAGTAACAGTCAATAATAAACATCCTAAAACAAATTCATGTATTAATAACTAACCTGTTTGTCTATTTATAGTGTTGTTTAGAAGAGCGGTTTGCTGAGCAAGATAACCACTTGGGTCTTCCATGAAAGAGGGACTTGAGGAACTCTGACTGTTATGAGGCAACTGGTTTATTATAACAGCTCTGCTTTCATTAGGTATTTGCCTGACATCGATGTTAGGGCAGGGAGCGTGACTGAGCTGGCAATTTTCCATTACGTGATATGGTCGATTCTTTACAATTTTCCCCAATTTGACCTTCTTCCTCTTGATATCTTCTTGCCATACTGTTGGAGACGGCGTGTGTTGATGAAGCGGTGGGACCCTTTCGTAGACGTTCGTAGGGTTGTGTTGGTTTGGTTGTGGACTGGCCTGATTCATAGGGACTTGATTTTGTTGTGGTTGCTGTTGGTTCATACTCTGCTGCATCCTCTGCTGCCACTGAATCTTCTGCTGGTGCTGTTGGTGTTGCACCTGGACCGACGTTGGAATCATCGGATTGCTCGGATGACTTTGCATAGCTTGAGGGCGGAATCCGTTCATCACTTGATTAAACGGTCTTATGTTTTTACTGGAGTCATATTGCTGAACCGGTGAGTACTGCTGTGGACCGTTATAGAAATGAACGTGAGGCTGTTGTTGTGGTCTTTGTTGAACATCTGGCCTGTGTTGGTTTATAATGTTATGTTGCTGATTAGATATACTGACTGGTATCATTTGAATGTTGGGCCGACCAGGACCGCTAGGTTCATTTGGTTGACCATTAATAAATATCCTTTGCTGTTGAGGTTGCTGATGTTGTTGTTGTTGTTGCACTTGAACAACATTCTGACCCTGTATAACCACCCCACCATTATTAGAATGGGGTAAGTGATTCACTGGTTGATTGTGACCTTGGTTCATGGAACCTTGCACGTTTATTATCTGCCCATTTGGTCCTATTATTTGATGGGACTGGATGTTAACCGAAGTGGGATTTGCGGGAGACATCTGAGGAATTTGTTGGTTTTGAGGTACCTGTTGATGGGATATGTTGGATTGAGGGCTGGGTTGTTGGACCATCATTGTACCATCTCCTACAACTACTGGAGAGCCAGCCATCACTCTGTGGCCAGCCTGATCCTGACACCTCACCAAGTGATGATTTTGAGGGCTCTCTGGATAACCCTGCAGACGGTTTGATACCAACTGAGGACCGTTCACTGGTGACTGGGGCCATACCTTAAGAAAGGGAATAAGTAAAAAGTCTAAGAGTAAAGAATAAATGGATAAACCAACCTGTGGGGAATTCCCGATCGCCTCCTTATTAAAACTATGTTGATTTAAAGCTAACTTTTCACGGTGTGCCAGAATTTGCGACACGGAAACTCCTCCAGCGTAGGGCAGTCCAATTTTTCTCTTCTTCCTTTTCACGTTGTACTCTGTAACAAAGATAAAAAACGAATAAGGCAGCCGTTAACAAGTTAGCGACAAAAACAAAAGTGGAAATAACCGAGGCCATTAAGATTGACCTTAATTTGATGGAGGGATCATATGTCAGCATAATAAAGTCTATTTTTATGACCGCATAACCCAATTGCCGTTCTAAGAATAAACGGCGGTAGCCAAGAACTGGCTCCGCGTGATTCACTGAATGGCTTTGTGCCTTGCTCGCATAAATTCTAAATTAGAACAGTAGTAGTATCAGCCAGGTTCCTTTGTTTTCTTCGACGAACGCTACTTTTTACTGATAATATACTGACCTGGGGCTGGGCAATCCCGGTCCCGAACGCTATTATATAACGATCGTTCATGGTCATAATTTTTACGAACGGAGGTAATACAATACGGACAATTTTGCATTATTTAATTTACATTTAAATTACACAATTATTATTGTAGTTAAAAATACATATTTATACGCCGCCACCAGTATAGTTTATTGCATGTTTAGTAAATAAAAGACATAGGCTTCTATTTTCAAATACAGACGAGCTAATACAGCTCCATTTCATCCGTTTGAAAATAACTACGGAGCTTTAGAGCGGGGCGCAAACAGACAAACAAAAACGGACTTAATTAAAATGTTATCAGCACTGAGCATAATTAAATTTCATACCGATATCATGTTTCTGCGTTTCGGAATAGATACGTTGTTAGTTTTCGCAATTAAAACGCGAACAATTAAACTTCGAAATGGCGTTTTAATTTCGTTCCACAACACTACCAACAACGAATCCACGATACGGGATGAATCTTTAATGTGAACATATATTTTAAACAGTCATACAGTTTACTATGTAAAACATGTAATTAACAGTTTTTCCGAGGGAATTTACTGGTAACGAAATTTAACTATTCTAAACGGAAGATCAATTATGCAATTTTGCCAGTATTACACTCACAAGAGACACAAGAGTCTAGATACAGTAAAATCTACTTTACTTGGATGCTTTTGGCATGTGTCCAAAAAATAAAGTGAATTACTTATTTAAATATTGCTGGTATTATGAAAGCATATAACTATTTTTTTGTAGGTTGGTAGTACTCAAGGTCTTTATACAAGACCAAGATTTTTTATTTTTTTAAACAAATTCACCTCATTTTTTGGGCAACGGATTATATCAGAGATTACTGTAATATACTGCGAAAATTATTCTCGAACTCGTTTCCTGAGACTTTCAACATAAAATAGTAATTTACCGTCCCCTCCTTGGGCAAGTTATCATTTTTTTAATGCATTTGTTTTTAAAAAACTTCTAAGTAGGTTGATAACACTTCTGAGCAAAGTATTGCAGAGAAATTGATATGCAGAATGTAAGCGTTAGGATTTCTGCATCGAAAGGCCGCGTTCGCCAGGAATTCGCCATAAAAATGACCGGTGCCTGCTCCGCGAAATCGAAATGCAGATGTTACCGAGGAGCACCGTTACTTTACGGCCTTTTCGCCGACAATACGGTAGGCCGTAAAAATTTTATTCCTGCCGTCGTCGTGAAAGCCGGTTGGCCTGAGGAATAATGTAAATCGACAATGGCCAATAAAACCTGCACATTAAAGGAGCGTTTAATAAAAAAACAACGGTCATAAGTTTATTAATGGCAAAAAGCGACCGCGTAGATCTGCCAGCGGCGATAACGCGACGTATTAACATTGTTACTGTAACTTTCCAAATAAGACGGCATAACGTCGTAAAATTTTACGACGCTGCCCATTGTTCTCACCAATATTTTATGCTATATCTATATCAGGCCACCGACAGCATATTAACTCGAATCCGTTCTTTTTTCCACAGCTCCATATACAGCGATTCTCGAGTCACACGTATACAGGAGGGAATGAATCCTTGAGAAATTTTAACACATTTATTTTTTATAGAACCATGTCCAGACAAGAGTAATGGAATAAGAATATAATGCGAATCTTGTATTTGGACGACACTCGTTGCTCTAAGTGTAAGATTCGCAGTAGATTATATAGACATAAATTAATAATTTTATAATGAAGAGAAACAATTTCTCAAAGTGTTTATAAACTTACAGAAAATACCTGAAGAATAAATAAATACTCGTAGAGGTGCAAAAACTCGACTAGCGGAAACATTTTTTCAACCGCTGACACCATCAATAGCTCGGCTGACTTTGTTTACTCAAATCGCTGTACATAAAGCTTTGCAGTTAACAGTTTCCATCGGCGATTCCATACGTTATCGCCATGTCTATTAAATTGTATTATGATTCAACTCAAAGCATTAAAAAAAGAAAGAGACTAAGAGAAAGACAAAGAAGTAACCAAGATGTGATATTTTTCATAGAAACAAAAAAAATTATAATATTAGTAACTTTACTTTGAAAACCTGTAGGTACGTATTTAATATTTTAACAAAACTGCATATACACGGGGTCCAATAAAGAATGTGGCATACTTCAAATGTAGCTACCTTGAGTAGCAGTGGTAGCACAATTTTACTTTCTTAAAAAATTGCTGGCCTTTAAGGAGGTATATCGGGTTTACTAAAATGCACTATGTCTGTGCGTCATATTTTTTTGAATTTTTTTTTTAATCTAGATTTTGAGATATTGTTGTTGAAATTTGTTCATTTTAACATTGGTTTATATGGCAAAGATTGACGGTGCGGCTCTTTTTTTGCCCATAACAGAAAAAAAAATCTAGAAATTGTGGAACAAAACTTTTCCATACAGTATTATCTTACTTTTGATGTAAAACTAATGTAAGTTTTGAACATAGTACAACTGCATTAATTAGAAATAGAAACCAATAATTGCATTTCTGTCTGACTTGAGGATTAATGTGGCAACGTCGCAATCAGCTGACAGCAAGGAGGGAAAACATTTGAAAGACTTGATAAAAACGAAATTGATTTCAAACATTATACATTTTTCCTAAATCCCATGTACATTGTTATCAACAATAAATTATCCACAACAGATTATTTTTTGTAATGTTTTTAAAAAATTAAATTAGTTAAAAAAGGCTAGGAAGCTGTGATATATTTATTGGAATAAAAAATACAGTTGATAAATCCTTTTAATATATTTAATGGTTTATAAAAACATCGCAATTATTACCCAGCAATATTTAGGGTTACATAAAGTTTTCTTTACTTAATTGATATAATTAGTAATACCTACTTGAGATAAAAGCATTTGTACAGAATAACAAAAGAACATAAATACTTCTCAGCAAACTTTATATCTAAAAAATTAGTTATAGTTGCAAAACTTTTGTAACATTACTAAAATAGAGATGAAATATACGAACAGTGAGTAATAATGTAATTTCTATCACAGAACCTTCAAAATTGCATCCAACATTTTCTTTAACTTGGACGAGAGATGGGCGCGAGTGTCATTTCATTTCTTTATAACTAAATTAACATAATTATTTTCTCGTTGTTTTACTAGTTCGAATGATTTACGGATTTTAAATAAAGGATACAAATGTTCGCGAGGATAATACGATATATTTGCTATATATATAATAATTATATTTTACATAGTTTACACACAAAACACTTTTGAACGCGTACGCATCTTTACCCGAATTTGACGCGCAATATCTCCGATGTCCAAGCTCTGTAGGTTCGCAGTGTGTACAACTACACTCGATTATTAGCGCTGTTGCCAATGAATACTTGTTGTATGTCGTTAAAATGTACCGTACCAGAGAAAAATTGAATTTAATTTTTACTCCAGTCGTCAGTTACAGACATTCCATTATTCGGGAGTATTCTTCTGATGGCAACAAACATAGCAACTAAATTTATTTATTTTATACCAATGCAATGTATGTCTACTCGTATCAAAAAGTTTGTGTTTACTGAAACAGGCTTCTGAATGTCGTACCAAAAAATTAATTTCAGGGGTCTATCCCAAAAAGTGTTGAAATTGGATTGAGGGTAGGTTGGTCTAAATAGAAAAAAATATTTAAATAAGTTGCAAATTTAGTAAAAAAAATTAAATTAGCCCTAATATTGAGCCGCTCATAACTGATTACTGTATAAATTTAATAGTGAAAATAAAGTGTTTCGAAAAATACTCACGTTTTCTCAAAATCTCTACTCCAAAAAAAAAAAACATGGCAAAAATAAACAAATTAATGTTTCTTGAGACCGAATTTGCAAACACCCTATATACCGCTTCAATTATCACTTTGTGATACAACATTGTTATATTTTTTTGTATATTTCTCGCAACACTGCAATTCCCGTTTACAATTGTATACGTTTGTTCAGAAAAACCTGTATACGGACAACCGCAGCACATCAACTCGAATCCCCTTTTTTGCCAGATCCGATATATCGGAGACGGTTGTCGTTGTCGACGTCATAAAGCTGTCATAATAAAGATCTGCGACTCGCCTTAATGGCCTAACGCCTGCATTTTGTAATTCAATTTTCCCGTGATTTATCTAGCTACAAGACCGCCACTAATTCCCAATTAAGATTTCTTGACGAGCCCATTCTGTTTTATCGCCGGACGGACTTCGTTTCGGCCCGTTTTTATCAAATTTACGACCATCGATAAAGTACGTGTAATTCCAATTAAACTTATTGACGTCAGGTAAATAATAAATCACCTACAAGAAGGGCAAATAATGAGCTGTAAGGGAAGTTCCTAATGCCGAAGTACAAAAAAAAGCAGCAGGGGCTGCAGCAGCAGCGTGTCCTTGAGTGTATACTATTTACAAACTAGCTTATATAACCAGCGAGCGCAATAATCAAGTCAGTGTTGCCATCTGAGTCAATAAAAAGTGAGCGGCGAAATATTTCTAGAGAGCGGCAGTTTCAGCTATCTTGGATCTCTCTGTATAAGTACTGAGCATCAAGAGCAACTTTATTTCAAAGGTATTAAAATGACAACATCTTTATAGAAAATGTATGATATAACACAGAAAATATCTCTAATTTTTATATAAAGATCGG